AAAAATCACTTGATCTTAAGAAGACAATCAACACAGGAATGATAATGATGAATAATGACCTAAAGATATGGTTAAACTAATTCTATATTTCTGAAATCTTTAAAAAAATAAGGAAAGAAAGAAGAAAGAGGAAGAACGAAGGGAGATATGAACAAAACATAAAATGTCAAAATAAGAGGAAATTTTTATGAATTTTTTGAAATACTCAGTTTTTAATAGTCTAATTCCTAGAGAGGTGTTGGAAGATGATGTCAACACTCCATCAAAAGTATTTTATCAGCCTATGTCAAATCTAGTCTGTTTAGCCTACAATAAATTAGATCTAGCCTATATTAAGTCCATAATAAATTATATAGTTTTCACTCCAATATGGGTTAAGGCATTATTAAATACATTCCTGATTAGATAAAATTTCCATTTCAAGGTGTTAATGAGAACTGAATTGTCTGCTTATGAAAAGCAGAGAGGTCACCTTCTTGAGGCCATGGAGTTCATAGTCTGCAAGGGTAACGGAAGAGAATAGAAAATAAGCTGAGGTCAGAGTCAGATTTAGGTTAAAGGCACTAAAGCCTCAGTCTCCTAAAAACTCTTCGCTTGCCCTAAGCTACTAACAATATTGTCACATGATCAGATTTTGTAGAAAATATTGCAAAATCAAAATATCTAGACTAACACAGCTATTTTTTTCCATTCTGAATTCTCCTGTCACTTGACATATTGAGATGGATTGGAGTAGCTACGGCCATTTTGAAAATCCAGCAAAAAAAGAAACTCAGTGAGGTATATATTTAATGTGAGTTTAGTGGGATACCTTTATGTGGTTTCATAGTCATTTCCACTCATGATTAAGTTGCTGCTGGCTGTCTCAGTGTAACAATGGCTTGCAGGAGCACCCTTATGACCTCTTGTCTTGATTCTCAGCACACAGACATATTGCTCTATAAATGTTATTTCCCAATGCTATGTACCTGAAGTCAGTGACAACTGTGGAGGAAAGAAGATTTGAGACATATTGCATCAAAAGTCAATCTTTGGAAAATTCTTCTAATCACCAGAAATGTAAAATCATAAGCAAAATGTTCAATTCTCATTAAAACCTAAAATGTAAATTTATATTTTTATGCATTATATATAAGTGAAAATGTGTAACTTTTTAAAAATTTCTATTTATTTGTTTTTACTTATTTGAGAGAGAAAATTTCCATCTGCTGATTCATTCTCCAAATGCCTACAATAACCAGGGCTATTGGCTTGGCCAGGACCCAAGTACTTGAGCAATCACTTGCTGTCGCTCAAGGTGTACATGAAAAGGAAACTGCATGTGTAACACATTTTTATGGGAATTATACGAAATAGAATGTATGGAATCTGAGATCACAAACTAATAGAAGCCTTGGCTTTCAGTGTGATGGAGGCATGACCACGTCCAGATACGTGGAGAAAGTGCATGGAAAAATGTAAGAAGGAATGGGACAAGAATGAAAAACAAACCAGGGCAGGCACTGTGGCAGAGGAGGTTAAAGCCCCAGCTTGCAGCGCAGCATCCCATATGAGTGTCAGTTTGAGTCTCGGCTCCTCCACGTCTGATCCAACTCTCTGCTAATGCACCTGGGAGAGCAACAGGAGATGGCCCAGGTCCTTGGGCCCTTGCACCCATATGGGAGACCCAGAGGAGGCTCCTTGCTTCAGATTGGTTCAGCTCCAGCTGTTGTGGCTATCTGGTGAGTGAACCAGCAGGTGGAAGACCTCTCTCTGTGTCTCTACCTCTCTCTATAACTCTTTCAAATAAAATGAAATAGATCTTAAAAAAGGGAAAAAGCAAACCCAAATATTAAATTGATGACTACAGTGTATCTTATTTTAGCTTTAAATAACACCAGAATATCACATCAAAATATGACTCTTTAACATTCAAAACTTATTTTTGAGTTTCAGGCAATTAGAAAGCAGTAAATGAAGGAAAAAAACGCTTTCTATTCTCTCATGCTCTCTGTTTCTACCTAAAGATGGGGCACAGATTCTCCCTCACTGGAATCCGCTCTATACTTTTATCAGACCAGAGATAGCACCAGGGAAATCTGCAAGCAAAGCTTCCCACAGTCTCACATACTTGCAACCCCCAAACTACTCTGCATCCTGTCATTTTCCTACAGATTTACTGTTCTCTTTTGAAGATGCTATACAGCAAAGCCCTGAGCCACCATTTTGCAATAATTTGCATGACATTTCTCTGAGATGTGTCCTGCACACATTAATAAACATGTTTTTCCCTTAATAATCTGTCTTTCGTTATATGAGCGTGTCCCAATTAAGAATGCTTGAAAGTTGAAAAAAAAGTATATTTCCTCCCATAAAGTCCAGTGAACAATATTTATACATCCAGTACCTCACAAGGAAACAATCCATTTTCCCAACAAAAACGTCATTAAAGGGGCTGGTGTTTTGGGCTTGTAGCAGGTTAGTCCTGTGATGCTGGCATCTCTTACGACTGCCTGTTTGAGGCCCAGCTGCTCTTCTTTGGTTCCAGCTCCCTACTAATGCACCTGGGAAGACATCGGAAGATGGCCCGATACCTGAGTCTCTGCCACCAATATGGGAGACACAGATGGTGTTCCATGCTCCTGGCTTTGGCATGACCCATGCCCAGCTCTTATGGCCACTTGGGCAGTGAACCAGCAGCAGATGGAGGATCTCTATCTCTCTGCCATTTCACTTCTCAAATAAATAAATCTTTTTAAGAAGAAATATCACTAAAAATGACATGCATATAATCCATACTGATCTTCAATCAGAGCAGGACTCTGGATTTAAGTGGCATTTACTGTTTTTTTTCCTACTAACTCAACAATTGTGTATAACCTAACTTTGTATAGAGACAAATTCTGAGACACAAATAATAGATTTAATGAGGACTTTTTAAAACAAAACCCTTGCTCAATCAGAAAGTCATTTTGTACTTCTTACCTCTTTTTTTTTTTTTTTTTTTTTTTTTTTTTTTTTTGTAACTCAATTTCCATGTCAACCAAAGTGATAATCCATCTTTTCTCCCGGGGAAAAGATGAGAAATGAATGGGTTAATTAAGACTTAAGAAACCCAAGACCTGCCTCTATCTTTTCTGAGTGCTCAAGACCACAACTATGCATGTGTGAGTAAAGCTTAAGGAAAATAAATAATACCTCCTGGTTGATATCCTACTCTGAGAAGGCAGATTTATTCCAACAAGGTAAGAAGACCACTGGTCACCGAAGCTTGGGATTGGAGTCCCAGCCTGGCTCTTCCCTTTCACAAGTTCAGAGAAGTTATGAGCCTCAGTTCCTCCAGTGTACAAAATGAGCATCGGATAACAGAGGTTTGGCCCATGTGGTCTCTGAGATCTATTCTGGTTTTCACAAGCTCCTATTGTGGGACCAGAAAACACTCTTTCAAAATATACATGTGAAAATTATTGTGGTTCCAATTCCAAAGTTAGATAAAGCAAGTAACTGTGACATATAAGACAATTTAAACTTAATTGTCCCTGAGAACAAGTCTTACATATTACAGAGAGATCAGTCGAAGATTCATCTTTAAAAGTTTGACAATTTCCAAAGGAAAATGCCATTTCATATGTCAGTTGTTACATGACTCATGACATGACATTATTGACTAATGAAACGAAGTGGTGGATATTAATAGTAGTAAGGGAAGTTAAAGGGCACAGAGAAAAGAAATAAAAACCATTTGCTATAAACTAGTTACACTTTAAAAATTCAAATAAATGATAATTTTGGGGGGAAAATTAAACCTAATGCAATAGAGAAAGTCACTGAGATAAAATTTTACAAAAAGTCTGAGAGAAGCTCATACTTCTGAGGCATGAACATTTTAATTTGGAATGCAGTTATTTTCCTGCTATCTACATAAGTGTTTCATTTTTAGCAAGGGCAAGGAAAATTAAAAATATCTAGGCAGTATGTATGTTATAACTGTAACTACTGTTTATTTTAAATCATTTCATTCCATTTTCTGATTTTTTTAGCAGCTGTTGCCATTGGTACATGTTTATAGCAATCAATCAACCCCTTGCTCCAACATTTGCAACAAAATCCAGAAACCATAAGCTGCAATGTATGTATCAACTTCTCTTGGCAGCAATCAAGAGAAATCAAATAAAAAACATTTTATGTTAAAGGGTAAAAGTTCCATCCACATTTGCATTTATATTTAGCTGTATTAAGTTTGCAAACTCAAGTTTGTAGATGAAATAGGAGCAAAGTTTTCTGAAGATTTAGCCTGAGAAACACATATGATTTCAAAAATTTGTAAAAGCTGTAGTCCCATCATGCTTTGCCTATAAAGAAAATTGTCCATCAACATGTTAGCTAATTTTCAAAGGATGACTTATGCCAACATCATTCTGAGAACATTTTGTCACCCCCTATTGCTAAACAATGTGCAATACATGACGCTTGCTTCACTCCCTGTTTAGCAGGAACAGGTTTTTGGATATTCTTGGTAATTAGCTCCCAGAATTTAGATAGCTAGATAGGGTGAGTGAGGTGGATAGATTCAAAAGACATAAAGTAAAGAACAGCCTCAACAGAAATATGATAGCTCACCAAATATTATATCGAATGTCATGATTGTTTTTCTGCATTCAAAATATTTTAACAAACATTTTAACACTTCTAGAAGGCATATATATATATACATATTATATACATATATAAATCTTGTCTTTGCTTTACTAGTACGTTGACTTAAAATGGGGTGGGGTATTAAGGAGGACAAATGTTCTGGGCGTAAGATTTGGCAGGTGCGAATCTCTTGGAAGGCTGCACTGTTTCCATTTACTCTCACACTACTCTCCCAGGGCTGCACAGTTGAGTCTCTTTAGTTTATGAAATAGAGACACAAGAGTCATTTGGCCTAGTGGTTAAGATACTTGCCTCACACGTCAGGTGCCGGGAATTGTTTCCCACCTTCAGTTCCTGTCTTCAAATTTCTGCTAATGCAGAACCTGGAAGATAGCAGTGACGACTCACGTCAGCCATGTTGGAGACGTGGCTCTCAGCTTCGCCCTCAGCCATGTGGGTTTATGCTTAGTGAAATAGTGAATGGGGTCTCCTCTCAATTTGCTCTCTTTCTGTCTCTGAAGTAAATAAATAAAATTTGAAAAAGAAGAAAATCCTTTGTTTAGTAAAAGGATCTCTCTCCTTCAAGAACAATTAATGCTAAAGTAACCAAATTCATATTTATAATTTTAATTATTATAACCATTTCATTTTTTATCTGCTATATAGTATATATTACATCCAGTGTACCACACATCTGGCACTGGATTGTCCTTCAATGACTATTTGTTCTTGAATACACGTATGCGGTTTATAATTATGAGATGTGTTGACATTTTCCTAGCAAGCAAACATTGTAAATAATTGCTTAAAATGTGCTTATACCTATGCATTTATGACATAAGATAATTCATCAGAGTGAAAAGTTAGAATTGAGATAATGTATGGATTTAATAGAAGACACATATTAAGTGTTAACTTCCATGTTCTCCCTATGTTACACTGCCTCTGGATTTATTTATTTATTTATTTATTTATTTATTTATTTGGCAGACAGACAGAGCTCCCACCCATAGATTCACTAACCAAATGCCTACAAGAGCTTGGAGGCTGAAGCTGTGAGCCAGAACTCAATTCAGGTTTCCTGTGTGAGTGGTACGGACTCAATTACTGGAGCCATCACCTGCTACCTCCCACGGAGCACCCCGATTGCTAGGCCAAATGCATGCCCCTGCCTGTGATTTAAAAATCCCTAAGTCCTTATGTAACTTTCATTCACACAAGCCACCAAAACTCCAATAAGCCCATGATAGCTAGGACAAAATTCAATTTGATCGTTTTGTTTTGTTTTGTTTCTCCAGATGAACACTTGTCAAATAAATGAATAAAATATGTATGAGTGAACAAATGAATTATGAATGCACTAATGAAGGAACATTCCCAAGATGCATCAATTAATATAAAATGTTATTGAAATATGACGTGTATTTGTTTATTTAGCCATCTCTTGATGGATGGAATAACAGTCTCCTATAATGAAAATCATTTGTTTGTGACTTAGTAGTGAAGGATAAATTAAATGATTTACAGGGCAGGCATTGTGGTGTAGTAGTGAGGTTACTGCTTTAGGAAACCCACATCCCACATCAGCATGCTGGTGCAAGTCCTGGCTACTCTCCTTCTGACCCAGCTTCCTGATAATGTGAGTGGGAAGGCAGCAGAAGATGGTCCAACTAGGCTCGGCTCCGGGCTTCACTCTGGTCCAGCTGCTGAGGCCAACACCATGAGCACGTGCCATGGTGCTCGTCCTCATTCGCAATCCTTGGGGAGCAGCCATTTGCCAATCGTGGCAAAGATGAAGTCTGTTCTGCTTCAAGTAGACTATGTTGATGGAGTTTATTCTTTCCAGGCCCAAAAGATAATTCAGGAGATGCACATATATCTGATTTCCAGTAGAGAGGGTTTGTGCAAAATCAGAAGAAAGATGAGGAGAAATATTGCTGTTTTAGATTGACAGTGATGAAAACTAAAATGCTGTGGAGCTGGCCTTTTGGCCTAGCAGAGTCCCAGCTCCTTCTGGATTCCAGCAGCCAACTAATGCAAACCCTGAGAGGCAGCAGGTGATGGATCTTGGGCCCCTGCCGCCCATGTTGGAGACCTAAGTTGAACTACCAGCTGTTGGTTTTAAGCCTGGCCGGCCTATCCCTGGCCATTAAGGGTGTATGGGAAATGAGCCAGCAGATGGACACCCTCTCTGTCTGTTGCTCTCCCTCCTTTTGTCTCTCTGCCTCTCATATAAATAAGATATATCAATCAAAATGTTTGAAGTCGTGCAAGTATACTGTGTTATAATCTCCTGTACAATATTCAGATAGTCTAGAAAGGACCAAAATACGGATTTTGACAAAAGGCTATCAGCCAACATCGACAGCAGTGCCTGTGCCCGGGTATCTCATTATCCAGGGTGATTTTAGGAGTCTCTTGTTTTTTCATTTGTCAACTTTAAAAAATCAAGGAGTTCTCATCCTACAAACTCACAATTTCTGACACCTCTAATGTAGATAGCATTCGGATTCAAAACGGGGTTTTCCTTTTTTCTGAAAAATAAAATTCATGTCAGAACACATCACAGCCACGAGAATTCCAACTGTAATATCGGTTGGTCTCTTGTGAGCTGTGTGTCCGCTTGTGTACTGACTGCAGCCCAGAGTCCCGCATGCAAGAAAGGTGGACTTGCGTCCAGGACCAAGAAAACACGATCCACTCTGAGTCACCACCGACCAGGCAAGGCTTCCAAGCCAAGTGGGATATCCAGCCCAGAAAATCAGTTAGGCTTTTCAGTCACAGCACCCCCTGCGACAAACGTGTGGAGCACCGCATGACTTCCTCAACCAGCTAGTTTTCCTGGCATCTGAATAAAAGTAAAAATAGAAAACAAAGAAAAAGTGACAAGCTGAAACCTGCGAAGACTGGCAAGGTACAGGAAATGGGCTCCAGATTGTGGGGAGGGGGTGGGGTCTGGTGGGCTGACACTGCCATCTAGTGGCCGCATGGCAGCTCGGAGAAAATCGTAAATCCGTCTCTGCATGGGAGCCAGCCTGTGGTGATGACAAACGTGTTGTGCCTTAGTCAAAGATTTCCAGCTTTTTTGGTAAACTGGGGAAGGACAGATAGTGAAAATCGTACCATGGGAGACTTCAGCAGACCTCATCCTGTCTTCAAACACTGGTTTCTCCTTCCCATTTTTGACAAATTTAGAAAAAATAAAATGATTTCCCCAATTAAATTTAGGACAAACGACCAAGAATTATTTTCACCTAACTAGGTCCTGAGCCATATTTAGAACATAATGATCTATATGAGTTTCAAAAAGGGTTTTTGTTTTTGTTTCTTCCCTAAAATTCCAGCTCAAGTGGCCATCAAGTGACATCACTGCCTCACCCACAGGCAAAGATAATATTCAGCCAAAATTCACTCACAGGTAAAGACAATACTTAGCCAAAATTTTAGTTGACAAGTGTCTATTCGTACTAACCTGAAATGGTAAAAAGTGTTATTTTTACCATTTTTGCCACCATGACTGTCATCACAAACCTTAGTATGAATAAGCACATGAAAGATAATAATTAATAATAAAGGTAATAGCTTAAGCATTCAGTTAAATTAAGTCCACATTGATCTTTCACGCTGAATTCCCATTTGTTTGATGACACATGTCTCTGAGCCAGGGGTGGTGGGAAGCAAAGATTGAAGATCTAATCATTAAAATATACTCTAAACTAATAACTATACATTGATTAGAAACCCGTATAAATTTGTTAACAGGATCTTAGTGTTACTAGCTCTCGTTTATGTGTAGATGAATGAAGAATTCTAAAACATGCATAAAAGGAATCCTGCCTCTGAAAGCCTCCTTCCACTTGGAGGGAAACCAAAGTGCACAGAACAAAATCTTAGCTTGGTTTTTTTACCTTTACCACGCTTGACCATTTGACAGATCAAATTTTGCTTTCCAGATTTTGACTGTTGATGAAAACATTCCCTCATTTCACTTTGCTGAAGGACAAGGTTTAAACACCCCACTGAGCAAGAATAGCTGTCTGCTGCTACAGAGCGGCTGTGGGTTAAACGATCTTGTGTATTTAGGACACCTATTCGATTGATGGATGGGGCAAAATCTTCCAGAATTTACTGAAAATATATCTTGGATGTTGTACAATTGTGGCCATTTTTCACCTTGTGTGGGCCATCAATAATAATGAAAAGACTCCTTAAAATGAGAAACAATAATCTCATTTGGTGTTGAAGTAGTCACAGATCCAAAAAGCATTTCTAAGTAAATGATCAACACTGTTTGCTGCACTTTGGCTGTTTGTTCTAATTTACTTCAAGCTGCCAAAGACCTGCTTCCTTGCTTCTTTTCATCATTTCTTATGGGACCCGTGATAGAAACATGTGCCTCTCCACCTCCAGTCTTCACACACTCCTACGTAACTACACCGTGTTATCTCTTCTCTGCTCACCAACACTAGACAAATAACCAACTTTCTGTGTCTGAATTTTATTCAACAAAGTGTGTTGAAACCTAGCATACCTTGTCAAAATAAAGGAGCCTAGGGATAGCAAGCAAATTGCTTTAAAATTCCTGTAGTAAACCATATTCATTCGGATGTAAATTCTTCCAACTATTAAAGGAAGTTTTGCCCCAAATTAAGCATACCCAGAATTACCATACCTTAGAAAACATGGACGGATATAATACATTATGCATATAACAGCATTCTGATACAAATTTACATTGCTTAACATAGTAAATGCATTTCCAAAAAGTGCATAAACTCAGATCATCTTTTTCTATTAAATTATAATACATATTACGAAGTATATTATGTTTATTTCTATTCCTCCCGCTATTGCCAGTGACTGCCAACCCATACCCTTATACTTATTTACTTTACCTCTGAATGAGTAGCTACTAAACCAAAAATATAAAATAGTCATAGAGAACAATTACATTAATATTTTCTTTTATAAGAATTAATCTTTTTGATCATCAACTTCTTAATTTATGATTTTTCTCAAACATTTATGTCATCAACTCAATTAATAATTAATTTTAAGCTCTAAAATTCTCTTGTTCTTATCTACCAACAGATTATTTTATAAGGAGCAAAATGTGTAAAAAGGAAAATATGTCAGATCTACCATATTAATCTCATAGTATCTGTGTAGGTGTCAACGGAGTTATCATGGTTATAGGAAATAAAATACTATTGAAAGACAGTTCTTCATGGGCCTCTTACATGTGTAGTTATGTCTTGTGAGCAGAGTTACTGATAGTTTTTTTTTTTTTTCAAAAATGTCTTCAAAATATTCTTTTTAAGAATGACAAGCATCTCTGAAGGCAGAAGTAGTGTCACTTCCCAGGCAGGAGGCAGATGTGTTTGCTGACCAATATAATGAAAGTAAGGAAGCAGTTGAAGTCTCCCTCTGGGCAAAGGTTTACAAGGCTTGCT